CCTGTGCCTGTGCCTGTACCTGTACCTATGCCTATGCCTGTACCTGTGCCTGTGCCTGTACCTGTACCTGTACCTGTACCTATGCCTGTACCTGTACCTATGCCTATGCCTGTACCTGTACCTGTGCCTGTACCTGTGCCTATGCCTGTGCCTGTGCCTGTGCCTGTGCCTGTGCCTGTGCCTGTGCCTGTACCTATGCCTGTGCCTGTGCCTGTGCCTGTGCCTGTACCTGTACATCTGTGTATCTCTATCTCTCTGTATCTATGATCTGGACATACATTTCCATGTATGCATTTGTGCATATGTGTATACATATGATATATAACATCTGGGTATAATAATGAAAGGCTTCCTCGTGTTGCAATGCTCTGCTTCCAGCCCGTTTCCCGCTCTCCAGCCCCCTCAAGTGGCGATACCTTAAGTGATATCCAATCCCCCATTTCTTCTTTAGAAACAGGGAGGAGCCTGCACAGGTCAGCTTCCCTTTGGAGAGGAACACTTTCCTATCTGAAAGGGAAGAGGCAAAGGAGAGAGCTTGTTAGAAGGTGCCCATGCTTTCCCAAGAAAAGGCAGGCCGTGGCCTGCAAGACCCAACGCTAACTCAGGAGCGTCAACATTTTCAAACACAGGGCTTCACGAAGACCCGCTGAAGCGGACACGTGTTCAGCTTATGTACATACTCGAGGCTGTTGTGTTCCCTCTCAACCAGTCAGAACGGTTATGCAGACACATCTTTGAACAGAGAATCATCACATTATACATTGCAATGGACCGAACATTGTGATTGTTTGGAATACGTCAAGTTGATTTCTTTCCATTTTAAGTGAAAGGATTAATGCCTTTGATTATCGACTCTAACTTACTTGGAAATAAGTGAGTTTCCTGGCATTTCATGCTCCTGTGGAATCAGATGATACAGAATTCTAGGAGCTACTGGGAAGTGGTTGGGAGTAGGACTCATGGGCCCATTCACAGCATTAGCAGCTGATGCAGCTCAATGGCCAGGTTACAAAACACAGCCGCTCGGCGTTTATCCATATTCCTCAAATCTCATGAAGTCTGCATCATGGTACTTGAAGGAAACCAGCACTTACCGGCCAGGAGGTCCGCCTCATCCATGAACTGGGTACTGAATAGGATCACACGGTCCATCTTCCGCTCCTTCAGCAAGTTCCACACTTGATGCCTTGAAAAGGGATCCAACCCGGCAGTTGGCTCATCCAATAAGAGCACCTGCAGTGGAGGGGTGCGTATGAAAGGGTCTTGCAATAAACTAGATAGTTCTTCCAGAAAGCACGTGGAAACCATATTATTTATACTTCAAAGGGCGTCGTGGTTAGGATTTTGTTCTTATATATAATGTCCCAACGTGAATATTTTATCTCAGATGTTCTTTGCAAATAAAAGGTTTGAACTACTACCGAAAGCTTTATTTTTAAAAACGTGAATTCATCTCTAAATTTCTTCCGACTTACCTGAGGATCTCCTAAAATGGCAATCCCAAAGGTGAGTTTTCTTTTCTGTCCGCCACTTAAGTTTTGGGCAAGGACGTCTTGGATATTTTTCATTTGCAATTCCAGCAAAACTCTTTGTATCTAACCAAAGGACAACATTTGTGTCACAAGCCAAGATTCTTTTCTTTTTTTTTTAACTTTTAAATTTATAAACACAAGGCTATAAAGTTGGTTAAAACTTTGGATACTGGTTAAAAGCATGGATACTGAGCCAGACTGACTAGATTTGAATATTGCTCCACATTAACTAGCTGCACAGTCTTGGTCAAGTTACTGGCTCTCTTGAACCTCAGTTTCCACATATGTAAAATGGGAACGATAATAGTACCGACCTCATAGAGTTGTTTTGAGAAATAAATGAATTAGTGTATTTAAAATTAAGGATAATGTTTGGCATATTGTAAATTATACATAAATGTTAGATATTATCTAAATTAAATTTTTTTGTCCAAATTTCACACAATGATTTTGCTCAAAGATCATTTAATGAAAGCATAAAACTCAGTGCAAATAGACTTAATGATCTCATTTTGACCAATACATTAGTTCTAATATATTTAAGTACCTCTTGTTCCACTTCCTGTGGCTGAATCCCTTTTATTTTAGCAAAGAATCTGAGGTTTTCTCTCACAGTGAGGTAGTCAAATTGCACATTGAATTGTGGACAGACTCCAATGAGCTTGCTGATATTTTCTAGGTCAGCTATTTCTGAAAGTTTATTATTATACACAGTGACTGAACCTATAACAAAGATTAAAAGTGAATATCAGATTATGCTTGAATTAAACACTGTGGTGATTGTGGGGTAGGGGAGGGGGTGGAGGTAGAAGAAGGCATAGAAGGAATAAATGTTGATGTAAAAAATTAAATTAAATTAAAATAATAATAATAATAATAAATAAAAACATGTATTAGGCATACATTCATCCCCCAAGAAAATATTTTGCTAAATGAAAAGTCACCATATAGTTATTAATTACATTTTAGATATATGGCTTTATCTTGAAGGTTTATACAACTCAGGCATTATGAATGTCCATTTTAGTTGTGTGGCATACGAGGGAAGAAAGGTCCCTTCTGCAGCTTTTCTTTTCCCATTAAGATGTAGTCTATTTATTCACCCCTCACAGTTAGGTGTGGCACTCTAATAAATGGAATTTTAGCAAATGTGATATAAGCAGAGGCTGTGAAGTGCCTCCACCCTGGGATTGCCCTTTCTCTGCTTCTGGAAGCATGGGCACCACTGGGTGAAGAATCCCTAACTAACTTCCCGGGGGATGAAAGGCCATGTAGGAAGAGAGGTGCTGGGGTCCTAACTAGAGCCCCACATATGTGAGTGAGGCTACGCTAAAGCATCTTGCTCCAGACACTTTAGCCTAGACAGAAAAACTTCCAGGCAACCCACAGAATCATCAGAAATAAGCATTTTTAGCTTAAGCCATTCGTTTTGGGGATGCTTGTCGCACAGCAAAAGCTAACAGATACAAGTGGGAATGCCAAATGGTAACTAATAACCATGAAAGTAATGACCATGAAATACTCAAGTTCCACATATACCAATGAAATATTGCATACCTCTATAGAATGATACTATAAATTCACTTCCATTTCCCCCTGGTGATCTGTGTTTGTGATTAATGATCAGAAGAACTTGGTATTAACGGCTGATTGATTTGTCAACCTGACTTTGGGGGAAAAAACCCTCTTACCTTTGGTGGGAACAGATAACCCACTAAGAATGTTTAACAGTGTTGATTTTCCAGCTCCACTGTGACCAAGCACTGCAGTGATCTGGCCTTCATATATGTCGAATGCCAAATCTAGGAAGAAGAAAGGACAGTAAAGAAGGGTGGAAGAAAGGACAGAAGGAAAAGAGGTGGCGGGGGGGAGAAAAAAACAAACCACAAATTTATTGTGGAGCTAAAATGTGTCTTTTTATTTCCTTGAAAAGCCATGTTTTCTAAATATAATTATACTAGGCTATTAAACTCAAAATAAATAAAAAATTCCCTTTTATAAATTTACATGTTGATCCTGTTTTGAAATTTGGAAATTACTTGTTTTAAAGCCAGGAAACATGTCTTATACTCTTAGGTTCATTGGCACTGCCTGGCATATGGCAGGTGAATGTTAATATAGGGTGTCCCCCCAAAATGTATACACACGCTTTGAATACTTATAAAGGCAGTGTTTATTAAAACACATTTCACTTTCAAAATCGAGCTATCAGCTGTTGAAGTGTGCATACATTTTTTGGGACACCCTATATTTATTGACCTGAAGGATAGATTAATAGTTCAGTAAATTATTATGTGGGTACAAATCCTTTGATGTATATGACCCTTTTGCACATAATAAAAATAGCAGTATCTACAATAACTTTGGAATTACAAAAGAAAAAATTGTGTTTGTAGAAAACAACCCCAAATAGCCTTAGGCTACCTCCTTATTACACAACATATCTTTCAAATACATATACAATTCTAAAACCGACTCAAATCTTTCTAACTTTTATGCAGCAGAAGTAATGCATTAGAAAGGAAATTTTATCAAATGGCTAAATAATTTCAAATCTGAAATACCACCAAGAGCAAAAAACAAAAAAGAGTGAACATCAGAAAATTAATATAATAACTAAATGTTATTTTTTTTTTTTTACCTTTCAAAGCTTCTATTTTATCAGGCTTTCCTTTATATTCTTTTGTAACATTTCTGATTCTGAAAAAAAAAAAAAAAAAAGTAAAGCGATTTCAAGGTATGACCGTTTTCTTCGTTGGGCAATTGTAGGTTTGGCTGGCATGGGGGGTGGGCCTGCCCCTCAGGGATTCTACCCTCAGGCAGTCACGCTTGTGTGAGAGGATCAGCTAGAATATTTCTCCCCAGTCTTGGCCGCTCGCTAGCTTCACCTGCCAAGTTTTAAAATGTACCTCTGCTTGGGACACATCGCCAGGCCCTGCGATCCCAGCGACAGACGCGAAACCCGGCGTTGGTGCTGAGGACCGGGAGGTCTCTGAACTGCGAAGCCGAGACCGAGAGGCAGCGGGCGCCCGATGCTGACGGGCTCGCGTGGCCCGCCCACGGGACACGGGCTGGCGCGTCTTTGGTTAGCTCGAGGGGGGCTCAGGGTGGAGGGGGAGAGGCAAGGATGGCAACAGCGAGAGCGTGGGTTCCACAGCCCCACCTGCCGCGTCGCCCCGGCTAGAGCACTTCGCAGCCCATGACCGTGGCCAACGTGCTTTTCCAGGTGAATTTCAGCTTTTGCAACCTAAAGGCCAGAGTGCTTCAGGCCTGTGCTGGCGGGCGAGGCAGGTGCTTCCCCTGCGCGCACAGTGCTCGTTCTAGCTAAGTATCCAGTAAACAGAAGATGCTATTGCGAGGTCATGATGATTAGGGGAATGGAAGGGCCCGGAATTAGCAAGCTGGGTGCTGTCATAGGCCTGGACTCCTAGGCGTTCTGCCTATCTAGTTTTACCAGGTAGATATGTAATCCATAAGCTGAATCAAATCTATGTTTCTTATTTTGCCATCTAGTCATCAAACGACTCGGGTCCCACTCATCCTGAACCGTTTAGATTTTCTTGGTTCCGCCTGAATGCCAGTTCCCATCATTCTAAAGTACGTAGAGATGGGCGAGGGGCCACAGAGGTAAGAAAAATAAGCACATAAACGCCTGGAACAAAGCCATCGCTTTGCTCTGAGCCCATCTGCTGGAGGTCAAACCTAGCTTAGGTCACAGATATAAGTATGGAAGATAAATATGGGAGAGATTAAAATAAAAAATGAAATGGCTTTAGGAGCTCAGCAGCCTGGAGTAATCCGAGACAGCTCACAGAGGACTGATGTATACGCTGGGCGCAGGTGCATGCGTGACATCTGAGTAGCCAGGGATGTTGAGAAATTTCTCCTTGTTTTGTTTGTTTTTTTTAAATTTGGGAATTAAAGTTACCAGCACCAAACAAAGCGCCCTCTAAAAAGCACTCCTCCCTCAGCTCCCTTCCTGGCTGTCCGTGGGTCTCCTCTTCCCGACTCTTTCTGNCCTCAGCTCCCTTCCTGACTGTCAGTGGGTCTCCTCTTCCTGACTCTTTCTCTCTGAAAGGCGGTAAGTAGGAGAGGAAAGGGGAGTTAAAAAAGCGAGAGAGAACAAACGGGGAGCGTAGTCAATGAGGTGGGGGCCAGGTGGGAGTAAATGAGCCAGGCAAAGGGAAGGGGGAGGCCAAGGCCAAGGGCGGAGACCACACGCAGCGGAGCAAGGACCAGAAGCCAGGCCAGGGTTTTGCCGCGTTTTCCTTGCGGGGGAGGCCTTGGTTGGCAGTTAACGGAAGCGTCAGTAACGTAAGACAGCAAAGCGGGAAGGGGATTTTCTTTCCACTTGCAGTGGGAGGTGACGGACCTGGCGTGGGTGAGGCTCGGGGAGGGCCACCTACAGGGCGCTAAAGGGAACTTGGGCTTGTTTCAGGGGCGAACTTCTAGCTGCTCGTTTTTTGGCCTGTTCTCCACTTGCATCTTTGTTACCTGATGGCTTCTTTCCCGTGGAATTCTGGAGACACTGGTTCAAAAGAGTCATCAGACGAAAGGCCAAAATCTGTTGCATCTTCAAGGGCCACGTGATCAGCATCACGTTGTCGTGACCAAAATGAGGACTTCAGAAAAAACAAGGGTGGGTGTTGACGTCCATAGTCATCTACGTGGCCAGGAGATAAATACTGGGTCAGTCACCACGTTAAGGGAGAGAGAGAGTCACCCCGATGGGGCACAGCAATGCAAACCCACCGCCAATGGGCCTGAACACACGGTTGACACCATGACATGCACATTTTGATATGTGTAGCTTCATAACGAGAAAAATAAAGCGCTAAGATGTCTCTCTGTTATAATAACTGTTCCTACAGGAAGAACTGAAGCTGTGGCTTTAAAAAATTCCAGAGCAACTTAAATCAGTGTCAAGACGCTTCTTAACCTCAAGAAAACCAGAGAACTGCAAGACAAATGCAAGACATGCCGGGTGTGCTGAGCTCTGTCTAGGTGCCCAGGTGTCATTACACTGGCAAAGGAGGAGATTGAGGAGTGGCTATTGGATGTAAAAGACAAATATTCCAAGAGAAGATAGATTAGGATTTAACAAAAATAAGTGGCCCACTGTGAGAAAGGGAGTGAACGGGGCAGAATAATTGATTGAAACTGGACACAGAGAGGAATTTTAAAAAGCTAATTTGTATTTATGTCTTATCTCGTCTCCAAATTATAAATTTCCTCTGAAGCTAATTTATGATCTGCTTTAAGGACATATTATCCATGAACCTCTTTCTGGAAACTAATCCACAGTGTATTTGAACTTAATTATCTCTTCTATTTTCCTACATGTTAAGGGAGGTTCTGAAACGGAAGAATTCTATTTCTCTAATATTCTACAATAGACTCCCACTGTAAGATTGAAGGGTTTTCAAACTCCTGTGTACTTTTCACATGTTCAGTCATTCATTCATGCAACAGATATACACAGAGCACTCTCTATAGGCCTGGCAGATGGTAGATTATTAGTATTTATCTTTCCCCTTTGATTAGGAAGCCTAGAAAATAAAAGCATGCATCTTAATTGGATACATTCTGCCATGAGACAATACAGGATTCTATCACTCTATCTAGTTAATTTTCCTTCCAGGGCTCCCCCAGGTGGTTCAGATGCTCAGCCGGGGCTCAGAGCCACTGAGCTGAATAGCTGGACAAGGCAGCCCTACATTTCCACGACTGAGCACCACGCCAGACCCACTCAGGAGCTAGCTTTCTAAGCGCCTCTGAAAAAAGAAACAAGCCATACACTTAGAGGTGAGTGAAGTTCAAACAAAGGCCGGGCATTCTGGAAGCAGGCGGCAGGCTTTAGTTCCAACCAAACAGCCAGCGAGACACAGAACTAATTTGGTCGGTGGCAATGGCCCTGAAGCACAGAGTGGTTCTTGAAATAGAAGCAGCACCCGTGCCGGGAGACTCATTTCGGGAAATCAAATCATTAAAATGCTGTTCGATTTTAATCGTATCACTACTCACTCGGCAAAACTTTTTCAAAATAAACCGTCAAGGCCAGGTAGAGGAAAATGTCTAAAGCCAGCATAAAGTGTGTGCCCACGATCTGACCGGAGTAGCTGGACGGGTCAGGAGGCGCGTTGGAATTCATGTCATAGTCCACGCGCAGAAGCTGGAAATGAAAAGCAGTTCATGGAAGGAAGTGAGGCTTATGAGACATTTTAAACAGATTTAGCACAAAAATAAAATAGCTACTCTTTGCCCCATGCCGGGAAGACAGAGTTGAGTGAGACGGCCTACTTCACAGTTCTCAGATCTACTGGGAAGCATGTGCTCCGAAGCAACTATGACGCAATTTAGTCACGGCAGTGATTTAAAACATGTTCCCCAAGAAAGGGGAGTGTGAGGAGGAGGCAGGGGAGTATGGGAAGAGATGACACTTGAACTCGGCCTTCGATGGCTCAGGAGAGAATTTACGCTCTTGGGAAAATCTCCGGTGTGTTTAAGAACAAGGGGCAGACGTGGGCTGGTCTATAATGTCCAAGCCCATGAGCACTTTATAATGACCAATCCTGTTGTTAAGCACTAAATAATGGCCATGGAATGATGGGCATTACCACTTAACTGGAGGGACGGCAAACTCAGTTCACAGGGAGAATCAGATAAAGAGAAATGACATTTTATGAACAGAAGTGCCGTTTACTACTCAATACGTTTTCACGGTGTTTTGGAATTTTCTTTCATTTAATGGTTTCTAAAATCACATGTGTGGTTCAATTACTAAGTGAAAATAGGAACTGGAAGGGTTATTTAGTATTAGATTTGTGACATCGTGGTCAAATTCAACTAGTAGCCAAAGAAAACACTCCAAAGAATGATAGATTGGCCTTCCATTTTTTCACTCACCCCATGGCTTATTTTACAGGGCTAAGTGCTTCCAAAGCTTTTAAACCCTCACGATAGTCTATTTTATACCTCACAACGCTGAGCACAGAAATGACTACAGACAACTAAATTCCAGAGAGGAGACAAACATAGGGTTAATACATAGCAAAACAATTGTTTATTTTTTATTTAAATATAATTTATTTCATTTTATTGTCTTATATGATACCTAATCTCACCAGGATGTTGTCTGTAGACACTTATCTATAATTGCATAGCAAATGTAACCAAAATTTAACATGCTGGTGTTTGATTTTACTAAAGTAAATATTGTAATACAAAAAAAAGAAAATTCCAGAGGGGAAAGATGGGTCAGAAATGTCATTAATAAACAATTAGATGGCTTCTCACCTGGGTCATTCCAAGCATGAAGGCATAGGGGCTGAGAAAACCCAACATCCACTCCAAAGATGTAGGAATATGCCTGTACAGTGCTGTGAATCCTAGGCTCCCCCAAAAGACAGTGAGAAGGAACACGACCAGGCCGGTGAGGAAAGGTTTCCTTAACAAGACGCTCATTAAGAAAGCCAAAGCTATCTAAAATGAGAGAAGACGCCGTTGGTTTATGTTTCTCTACAAATTAGTCCTAACATAACAAAACAAGAAATCTAATATACAAAGTAAGAGTTACATTATTAGTCTACATAGAAAGTACAAAGCAATGATCTGAAATCTGCACTGCAAATGGGCGTTTCAAAACACCACAGATCAAATACCAGCCTACAGGCTTTCCCATGCAAACAGGGCGGGCGGGGAAGAAAACGGATATCTAGAAGAGCAGCCCATTTGAAAACCAACACTTGATCCTGTTAGATGGAAAAAAATTTAATTCACCAACTCACCAAAGATAATCCATAGAGGAGAAAGAGGGTGAAGACCACCAGGAAGCCAGTCAAAATGACATATTGGACATATTTTAAAATAAGTGCCAAGAAAAGGGTAGTAATGAAGATGAAACCACCATACAGCAAACCCCAGGAGAGCCTAATGGGGAAACAAAATGTTATTTTAGTATTTCCCGTTCAATCAGAAAGGCCCTACGTCACAGATTCTAACACCACTGATTCATTCCAATCACNAACAAAATGTTATTTTAGTATTTCCCGTTCAATCGGAAAGGCCCTATGTCACGGATTCTGACACCACTGATTCATTCCAATCATCCATTCATCCATTCAGCAGGTATTTATTGAGTGTTTAGGAAATGTAAATACTAGGTAAATGTTTTGGGAAGAATTTCTAAGAAATTAAGAACATTCTTTTTCCTAAAATTAATTCCAGAAATCCACACCCTTGCACACATTCATATGAGCACATTATTATGAGAAAAGGGAAAAACTGGCTTCTGGTTGGATGGATTCTGGTTCTACGTTTGCTCTGCTGTGTTTACTCTGTGACCTTGCGCACACTCCGCAAGCCCTCTAGGGCCCTTTATTGCTCGGGACATTTGGGATGCGGCTCAAGTGAGGACTCACAGGGGCCATGTCCACGTAGGACCCCAGCCTAGCACGTAGTGACCCCGCCATGAATCTCAGATCCTCTTCTCTGGGGGTGAAGAGATTCATGAATTTCCTTGGAGACAAAAAAATGATCCCTTATGTCTAATTCTGTCTCTTCTTCCTTTCTCCAGAAGCTGTTTCGTCTTTCTCTAGGTGTGTACACCACAGAGTCCGCATGCCCGCCTATAGCTTTATTCGTTTTCTGTTAAGCTGGGATAGTTCACTTTCCTTTCCTCAGTTCCTTTACCCTGTTTGTTAATATTCTCTGACGGGTATAATGAAATAATATGAAAAGCAGCCGAGCCAACGAAACAGTACCCGACACGTGTGGCAAGCACTCTGTGCCGGAAAGTGTTTTAAGAACTTAGCAAATATGAAAGCATTTTATTCTCACAACAGTTCGATGTGGAAATACCACTGTCTTCTGCATTTTATAGACAAAGCACCCACTGAACAAAGATGTTAAGGAGATGTTTCCAGTCCAGGCGTCTCGGCTCTGGAGCCTTTAGGTTCCACTGTTCCGCTATATTTCTCTTTACTGGCTCTTAATTCGATCAAGAGCTCAGTGAGGGCGTGTAGGATAGCCCCCCAGACTCCCAGGTGTCACGCGTGTCCCCCCGGCCCCCCGGCTGCTGCTTGTAAACATCACCTCTGTGCCCTTTCGGTCCATGAGCCGCAAGCTCTCTCGCAGGGCCCTGCCCACACCTGCAATCGCTCAGCCAGGGACGCTGTAGGTGCGAGCTGCCCAGCCGCCTGGCGCCCCTCTGCCGGTGCCCTCGCTGGGGGCCCTCCTGCCTGCTCTCCCGAAGCGCCCCGGTCCTGGCCCCTCTCCTCCCTCCCCTCTCACCCTGGCTCGAGCTCCACCGGAGGCTCGGACACCCAGGCCCGTCATCTCTAGGCCGCTCTTTGCCGCAGGCTCCGTGGCCACGCCCCGGGACCCCAGCCCTGGTGTCCCCTCCCGGGCCAGAGGTGCGCAGCAGCCCCGGCCGGGCCGT